GATCTCGGCCTACCCCTACTAGGCACTTCAGATGTACTCATGCTCGTGTTTGGACTGTCGGTGTTTGTGGAAGGGAGTATAATCGTTGGTTGTTTCTGTAGCTCGCCCTCCATCAGCATGCAGTCCTCTTGATCACTAATTCCTGTGGTGGAAGCACATTCCATCTTGTCTTCCTCCCATTCCTCTGACACGTCCGCCTCCTCGCCCTCCTCTTCATAACAAGTAATATCAGAGGTACTTGGAACGACATCAGGATCTGAACGTAGAGTCTTTCGAACTGATGAAGAAGAAGGTTCTGCCATCTCACAGCTGGTTGAAGCATCTGTGGGTGTATCAATAACCATCTCGTTGGATGAATGTTCCCTTCTTGTCAATGTGTTCATCTTCAGTCCCCTGCCTTTCTTCGGTATTCGCGATAGCACTTGGCCCTTGCGACTAGAAAAGCCGGGAAGGAAGCGTTTCATCACACTGGTTGGAACTACACAAATAATGAGCAAAAGGAGCGCACTGGTTGGAACTACACAAATGAGCGAGCACTGTATTATAGCACTTTGTGTTGGCAAAAGGAGCGCACTGGTTGGAACTACACAAATGAGCGAGCAGTGTATGTAGCACTTTGTGTTGGCAAAAGGAGCGCACTGGTTGGAACTACACAAATGAGCGAGCACTGTATTATAGCACTTTGTGTTGGCAAAAGGAGCGCACTGGTTGGAACTACACAAATGAGAGAGCACTGTATTATAGCACTTTGTGTTGGCAAAAGGAGCGCACTGGTTGGAACTACACAAATGAGCCAGCACTGTATTATAGCACTTTGTGTTGGCAAAAGGAGCGCACTGGTTGGAACTACACAAATGAGCGAGCAGTGTATGTAGCACTTTGTGTTGGCAAAAGGAGCGCACTGGTTGGAACTACACAAATGATGAGCAAGCACTGTATTATAGCACTTTGTGTTGGCAAAAGGAGCGCACCGGTTGGAACTACACAAATGACAAACGCACACACAGCCACCGAAGACTCTTTTATTTTTTTAGAATATTATTTGTATTTTTTTTAAGAATAAAAGACAGGTATTTTTAGAAAATATTCAGAAATGGAAAATTAACCAAAAACTGGCCCTGATGTGGACCAACCACAGCCACGAGACAGGGCAAATGAGAGCACACACCAACAGAAGAGTCTTTTTTTTTTAGAATATTTTTGGTTTTTTTTAAGAATAAAAGACAGGTATTTTTAGAAAATATTCAAAAATGGAAAATTAACCAAAAACTGGCCCTGATGTGGACCAAACACAGCCACGAGACAGGGCAAATGAGAGCACACAGCAACAGAAGAGTCTTTTCTTTTTTAGAATATTTTTTGGTTTTTTTAAGAATAAAAGACAGGTATTTTTAAAAAATATTCAGAAATGGAAAATTAACCAAAAACTGGCCCTGATGTGGACCAAACACAGCCACGAGACAGGGCAAACGAGAGCACACAGCAACAGAAGAGTCTTTTCTTTTTTTAGAGTATTTTTTGTATTTTTTTTAAGAATAAAAGACAGGTATTTTTAGAAAATATTCAAAAATGGAAAATTAACCAAAAACTGGCCCTGATATGAAGCAAACACAGCCACGAGACAGGGCAAACGAGAGCACACAGCAACAGAAGAGTCTTTTCTTTTTTAAGAATATTTTTTTTTTTTTTAAGAATAAAAGACAGGTATTTTTAAAAAATATTTAAAAATGGAAAATTAACAAACAAATTGACAAAAACCGAAGGAAGGAATGAAGGAATGAGTCCAAGCAAGGAATTAAGCAACAAGGAATGAATCCAAGCAAGGAATTAAGCAGCAAGGAATGAATCCAATCCAAGCTTAGTTGCAAGCCAACCCAATGCTAGCCTGAAGCCACCCTCCCGGACCTCCTCTCTTCTCCCTCGCCTCCGCAACAAATGAGCTGTACGGCCGCGCGGAGCCGCTTTTAAAGGGCTTGCCGGCCAATCAGAAACAGCCACGGTGCACTGCTTGGGTGCTTGGGAGCCGGATTGGCTCCCAGGGCACCAGCAGCCTCCATCCCATTTACGAAACGGGCGGAAGCTCGTTAAAACTATGGGGGTTGCCGGTTCGTTATTTTTAAACCCTTCCGGGTTTGAAAATGTGTTTTGTAATCGTTTCGTTATTGCTAAAAATAACGAATATTTAACGAATTACAAAATTAACGAACGAAACCGCCCAGGCCTAATATATATATATGGCCACTGAAAAACACTTCTGAAGCAGTGCTGTTTTTTATGCACTGGCATAAAAGATCAGGCATAACAGGTTATTCAGTCTAACAACTGAAATCATTGCCTTGCATAAGTATATCTGGTTGTATACCACAAGAGAAGATTCTACTCCAAAGGGTATTTGGATCTTCTCTGAAAGGCCACACTTTATTTATTTATTTATTTATTTATTTATTTATTTACTGCTCTTATATACCGCAATTCTCAGCCCAAGGGCGACTCATTGCGGTGTACAACATAAAAACAGGTGCAAATTACAAGACATAGTGCAAGATATCCACAATCATCATTATCAAAAAACATCTTATCAAACATCAACAATACTACAAAATTTCTACTACATTCCGAATCGTCTCATCGTCAAACCCACAATCCGATATCATTTCCGTTGTTCCATTCCTATGGTCAAATCTCCAGTCATTGCACTTCTTGATCAAATGCCTTCTTAAACAGCCAGGTCTTTAGCTTCCTGTGGAAAATCAACAGGGAGGGGGCTAGCCTGATGTCCACGGGAAGGGTGTTCCACAGCCGAGGAGCCACCACCGAGAAGGCCCTATCTCTCGTCCCCGCCAGCCGTGCCTGTGACGCAGGCGGGATCGAGAGCAGGGCCTCCCCGGAAGATCTCAAAGTCCTCGTGGGCTCATAGGCCGAGAGGCGGTCAGTTAGGTATCTTGGGCCGGAACCGTTTAGGGCTTTATAGGCCAATGCCAGCACCTTGAATTGAGCCCGGTAGCAGATCGGCAGCCAGTGGAGCTGGTACAGCAGGGGGGTTGTATGCTCCCTGCGACCCGCTCCTGTTAGTATCATGGCTGCCGCACGTTGGACCAGTTGGAGCTTCCGGGCCGTCTTCAAAGGCAACCCCACGTAGAGAGCATTGCAGTAGTCTAAACGGGATGTAACCAGAGCGTGGACTACCGTGGCCAAGTCAGACTTCCCAAGGTACGGGCACAGCTGGCGCACAAGCCTTAGCTGTGCAAATGCTCCCCTGGTCACCGCCGAAACCTGGGGCTCCAGGCTCAGCGATGAATCCAGGATCACACCCAAGCTGCGAACCTGCGCCTTCAGGGGGAGTGCGATCCCATCCAGCACAGGCTGTAACCCTATGCCCTGTTCGGCCTTGCGACTGACCAAGAGTACCTCTGTCTTGTCTGGATTCAATTTCAATTTGTTCGCCCTCATCCAGACCGTTACAGCGGCCAGCACCGGTTCAGGACCTCGACAGCCTCCTTAGTAGCAGGTGGAAAGGAGTGACAGAGTTGGACATCATCTGCGTACAGATGACACCGTACCCCGAAACTCCGGATGATCTCACCCAGCGGCTTCATGTAGATGTTAAACAGCATGGGGGACAGTATTGAGCCCTTTTTGAAAAGTTACGATCTCCAAATGGCATTTTCCAAAAGATTATGAATGCCATTTTCCAAAATATAAAAATAAAAAATGTGGTACTGGTCTCCAATGTAAAACTTTTTGAAAGCTTTGACGTTGCACAGCTCAATGCGAGGGAAGCTGTAGTGTGGTGAACTTTCTGTCAGAAATATTAAAATTTAACTAGATATTTTGATTACAAAAATGTGAGTCAAGCACTGAAAGGATTACATGGATGCAACGACTCAGCAAAAGCTGCAGTTCTATATATAAGCAGGTATGCCTCAGTGTTAGTTGCCCTCAGAATGAAGAGGCCTCAGAAGTCTCAGTGTGTGTGAGATGACCTGGTGTGAGAAACTTCAGTGAGAGAAGTCCCAGGTTGAAGATCTTGTATATAAAGCTCCAGCGTGAAGGCTGCTGTGTGTAAAAAGCTACTATATGAAGTTCCTGTGTAATTTTGGTGTGAGGGGAAGCTCAGTGAGAGAGAAGTTGTTTATCTTCATGAGAAAGAAGCCCAGTGTGGAAACAAAGAAGAAAGTATAAGGAACTTTATTTGTGCTATGGAAACTTTATTTTGATATAAATAAAAGCATTTTGATATAAAGAAAAGCCTCCTAAAGAAGATATAACATCAGTCTGTGCGAGGAGCCCCTAGTGACACAATGGGTTAAACTCCTGTGCTGGCAGGACTGCAGGTTCGAATCCGGGGAGAGTGTGGGTGAGCACCCTCTGTTAGCTCCAGCTTCCCATGTGGGGACATGAGAGAAGCCTCCCACAAGGATGGTAAAACATCAAAACATCCGAGTGTCCCCTGGGTAACGTCCTTGCAGACGGCCAATTCTCTCACACCAGAAGCGACTTGCAGTTTCCCAAGTTGCTCCTGACATGAAAAAAAAACCGGTCTGTGTGTTTTTGTTCTTTGAATCCCTTTGGGCTACTGGTGCTGGGTCCCCCTGCTGCTAAGTTACTCTGGTGTACATTGATGAGGAGGGTCTTTTGTTACTAAGCCCCCTCCCTCGCCCAACAGTTTCCACTCTCTTTGGCAGAGCAGGAGAAAGACCTTGCAGGGATTGCCAGTTTGTGTATAGCTGGCATCTTCCAACTGTGGCCCTCCCAGAAGCCTCAGCCAGCTTGTTCAATGGCCGGGAATTCTGGGACTTGGAGGCCCAGCCAGATGGAGGGTCGCAGTTGCAAGAAGCCCGCCATACACAATCTGCCAATCCCGGTCCTTCTGAGCGCCGAGCTAGAGCGGTTCATGGGGTGTCCGTCCACAACTGCGTCCATTCTGCAGCGAGAGGCGAGCGCTGGCTCCCTCCTGCTCCTGCTCCTGCTCCTGCTCCAACCTCTTGCAGAGCGGAGTCACTCCCCTTCCGCGGCGGGCGCCTCCTCTGACGCCGGAGGAGCGACGAAAACGAAAGCGGGAGCCTGTCTCTTGCTGCAGGCCTCTCCCTCGGCCCTGGAGCGGCGCTGCCCGGGCTGGAAAGGGCTCCCTCGGGGGGTGGCGAGGGGCGGCGGGCCCCCTGCTCCGCTGGGATGAGCTCCGGCCCCGCCGCGCGCCGCCTCCTCCGCCTCCTCCTCCTCCTGCCCCGCCGCCCGGGAACCAGCCCGGCCCCACCGCCGCCCAGGTACAGCCCCGCGAGCGCCGTCGCGCGACAAGGGAGCCCACCCACAACTCCCAGCATTCCACGGCTTTGAGCGGGGCAGCCCGAGGACAGCCTTCATTCTACACCCCCCCCCCCCCCAGCCTATATTTGTAGGCAGGGAATGACTCCCAAGAAACCCACAATAATAATAATAATAATAATAATAATAATAATAATAATAATAATAACAACACAATATTTTATAATATTATAATATATAAAATATATTATAATATAACATAAATATAAAATATAATATAAAATAAAATAAACACTTGGGAAGTGTCCGACCTGTGATCCAATTCAACAGCCAGCAGAGTGTCTGCTGTGGACTCATCTTGTTGTGTTTCAAATAATAGTCGTAATAATAGTAATAATAATAGTAATAATAAAAATAACTGCAAAGTCTCTGGCATAAGCCAGTCATGGTGGTCCCAGTAGTCATCAGCACACTGGGTGCAGTGCCTAAAGACCTTGGCCTGCACTTAAACACAATCGGTGCTGACAAAATTACCACCTGCCAGCTGCAGAAGGCCACCTTACTGGGATCTGCACGCATTATTCGCCGATACATCACATAGTCCTAGACACTTGGGAAGTCTTCAAAGTGTGATCCAAAACAACAGCCAACAGAATGATCTTGTTTGCTGTGGACTCATCTTGTTGTGTTTCAAATAATAATAATACATCACACAGTCCTAGGCGCTTGGGAAGTGTCCGACTTGTGATTTTACGATACAAAAAAAAATCTTGTTAGCTGTGACATACTATGTTTTTGTGTCACTAAAATAATCATAATAACAACAACAATAATAATAATGCCAGGGTAGAAGGAGGGAGCATGTGGCCCAGAGTAACCCAGACTGCACCTGCACCAGAGCTTTCCAGACAATTTTATGTTGGGGGCACAGTTTTGAGATGGGCATCATTACGTGACAGAGTCATTCAGTTTTCTTAGCAACTCGGAAGTTAACCAACTCCTTACAAAAAGACATTTATTTATCATGTCAGAAGTGAATTGAGAATACACTTATAATGTATAGAAAAATCATATAGTTAAAAACTTGGCATTATGCTAAATGTCCTTTGACCAGAAGCTGGCCACTTGGAGTCCCTTTTGTGTCGCTGTGAGAAGGTCCTCCATTGTGCATGCTCAAGCTGCATTGTAGTAAGTCAGGCATCCTCAAACTGCGGCCCTCCAGCTGTTTGGGCCTCCACTCCCAGAAGCCCTAACAAGCTTGTTCAATTGTCAAGAATTCTCGGAGTTGAAGGCTCAAACAGCTGGAGGGCCACAGTTTGAGGATGGCTGTAGTAAGTGGTCTGTGGTTTGCTCTTCTCCATACTCGCATGTTGTGGACTCTACTTTGAGGCCCCATTTCTTAAGGTTGGCTCTGCATCTCGTGGTGCCAGAGCACAGTCTGTTTGTTCAGTGCCTTCCAAGTCACCCAGTCTTCTATATGCCCGGGGGGGGGGGGGGGGGGGGGGGGGGAATCGCTCATTTGGTGCCAGCCACTGATTAAGGTTCCGGGCTTTAGCCTGCCACTTTTGGACTCTCGCTTGTTGAGGTGTTCCTGCAAGTATCTCTGTAGTAAAGGTAAAGGTTTCCTCCTGACATTAGGTCCAGTTGTGTCCGACTCTGGGGGGTGGTGCTCACCTCCATGTCTAAGCAGAAGAGCCAGCGTTGTCCATAGACACCTCCAAGGTCATGTGGACGGCATGGCTGCATGGAGTGCCATTACCTTCCTGCTGGAGCGGTACCTATTAATCTACTCACATTTGCATGCTAGGTTGGCAGAAGCTGGGGCTGACAGCAGAAGCTCACGCCGCTCCCCAGATTTGAACCTGTGACCTTTTGGTCAACAAGCTCAACAGCTCAGCGCTTTAACCCACTGCGCCACCGGAGCTCCTGTAGATCTTATAAAAAAATCACTGTAGATCTTATAAAAAATAAGGACACAGATTGGTTCTTTGGCTGGTTTGGATTTCAGCTCCCAGGAGTCTTACCCAGGATAGTTGGTGAGCAAGGATTCTGGGAGCAGAAGTCAAAACACTCAAAGATCAAAGATTGAGAGCTATCACTATAGAGTTTGAAGTTTGTGCAGTCCCACCCACTTTTTCTGAAAGGCAGTATGAGTGAGTTTGCTTTTCTCTCAGGGAGTCCAGCTCCTTGCTCACCTTGCCTATGAAAACCCTATGGAATCCATCAGGTTGTCATATCTGAACATTCACAATGAAGAACTGAATTCCATAGGGTTTTCTTAAGCAAGGAAAACTCAGAGGCAGTTTCTTTGCTCTGAAATATAGCCTACAGTAGCTGGGATTCCCATCCAAGCACCCACTGAACCTGGTCTTTCATAGTTTCCAAGATCAGACAAGATCTACTACCTTGAGAGTATTTAGGCTTCATGCTCCCTTAATACTGTGATGGGCAACCTGGTTTTCCCAATGTTTTATGTAGAGTGCAGCTCTTACAGTCGTTTCCTATTGGCTCTGCTGGATGGAGTATACAGGGTCCAAAGAGCTAGAGAAAATTCTTGATGCTGCTCCTAGGCTGTACAGTTCCTGTCCATAGCAGGCTATGCCGGTCCCCACTTTTCCTCTTTCCTCTTTATAGACCAGTAACTTGTTATTTAGACAGGTTATTGGCTGCTAAGTAGTTGCTGTGGAAGAGCCTTTTACTAATATGTGCTTTATTTCTTTCCCCTGCTCCTTATGTTTTTAAAGTGCTCGGTTTTAATATGATAGCTTTTAAAATAGCTATATAATCTATGGCAGTGCATGGGTCTTTAGATGTATTTTGGTTTTCCCCCCTTAGCTCCTTATTTATTGATATTTATTGTATTTCTTTGATTCTAAGGCACACTTATTTGCCATCTAAATATCTCTAAAATGAGGTGCATTTTAGAATCGCGGATAATACACACACACACATACAGCACTTTTTCTTACATTGAGATTCGTGTGCGTCTTACAGTTGATGGCATCTTAGAATCCATGAAATAAAGTAAATAAAAATAGAGGACACGAGGTTACTTACCTGATTCTTAGTATGTCTTTTGATATGTCAATCATGATATATTTTTCTGTCAGCTTGTTTTAGTAGGAGGCCCCTTCAAACGTATGTTCGAACTTAGAGGAAAATGTATTGCACCTTTGGCTGTTATTAATTTGAGAGGTGTTTCAGTTCAATTGCCTTGCTGCTCTCTCTTAGCTTTATTTTTTGGCTTGGTTTGGTTTGCCTCTTTCTAGCATTGAATCTTTTCAATTTTCCTTTATTTTCTTGATTCTTTCTTTTTAGTGGGACTGGGAATTAGGAAAGCGCAGGACAGGTGGGTGGAGTGTGCATACACTTTTTGGGACTTGGGAGAAAGAAAGAGCATCTCTTTGCTCTTGGTGTGCTTTTCTTTAAAAATATTTGCGTGGCTCTGAGAGCCTTGAATCACCCTTTTGCTTCTTTTTCTCCTCCTCTCCTGTCCTTCAGAAAACACCTTAAATAGTTAATATTAATAATCATCATCATCCCAGCAAACAAACAGAAAAGCCCCATTCTCAGAAAACTACTACCTAGTTACCTTCCTACCTTCCTATCTACCTATAATTTCATTCCTTTGCAAACAAAGTTCTCTCTGTTTATATTTCTCTCTGTGCTTTCTACCTTTTGAATTTAAAGTAACAATAATAATAAGTGTGAGTAATAATCCTTTGGCTGTTGTCAGTAGTAAGGAGAACTACAAAACTAAGTATTGGGCTTCAATCTGTGGATACACTTTGTCCTTTGCCAAACCAACAGTACCCATTGTCTCTCTCTCAACTCCACCGCCTCACCTTTCTGAACAAGTGAAGCTGATTACCTGCTCTGAACCACTATGATTTAAAATAATATTCTCCAAAACCATGTTTTTTTTCCCCAAACATGGCTAGATTTTCCACAATACATTTTGAAAATGTCCCCCCCCCCCCCTCAGGAGTGTTTTCCTAATTAGGGGGCAGTTCTTGCTGCTGGCCAGTATGTTTTGTGACAACAAGAAATGCAAAAGCTTTGGAAGAAGTTGCTTGCTGCTGTTGTTTTTATTAGTAAAGAAGAAAGCGTAATAGTGGGGCACTGGGCTGTATGATGTGGGAGGGCATCTTTGACATTTGGCAGGAAGGAATGGTGCCCTGCTGCTGCTTCTGGAGAAGTTACAGGGTGGCGCCAGTGGGTGGGTGGGAGGGCAGGGCCGGTGGGTGGGTAGGGCCGGTGGGTGGGTGGGGGATACCTTTTGGGGAATTCTTTATAAGGAGATTTTATTTTAAACTAGCTGTTGCCTGCCACACATTGCTATGGCCCAGTCTGGTGATCTGGAAAATAAAGTAATGAGAAAGTGTTAGTTTTTAATATATGTGATTTCTTGATGCTTGTTGGTAAACAGTACTTCTGTTGTTTCTTTGTCAATGTTGGTGTCGACTTGGTATGGTTTGCCCACTCTGAAACATGCAACATATCATTGTCCTTCTTTAGTGGTCCCTTTCAAATCTAGGATACTATATCTGTCATAGCAACACACACACACGTGTGTGTGTGAATCATATCTATTCATATCTATGGCTGGATGGCTCTTTGTCAGGAGGGCTTTGATTATGTTTCTTTCCCTAAAAGACCCGGGGGGGGGGGGAGTCATGAGGGGTTGTCAGAAGGGTCTCCAAAGACCACCAGAAAACACAGTATTTTCTGTTCGTTGAGGGTGTTCTGTGTGGGAGGTTTAGCCCAAATTGTTGGTGGGGTTCAGAATGCTTTTTGATTGTAGGTGACCTATAAATTCCAGTAACTACAGCTCCCATATGTCAAGGTATATTTCCCCTAAACTCCATCTGTGTTCACATTTGGTCATATGGAGTATTTGTGCCAAGTTTGGTCCAGATCCATCGTTGTTTGAGTCTACAGTGCTCTCTGAATGTAGGTGAACTACAACTTCCAAACTTAAGGTCAATGCCCACCAAAACCCTTCCAGAATTTTCTGTTAGTTGTGGGAGTTCTGTGTGCCAAGTTTGGTTCAATTCCATCAACGGTAGGGTTCAGAATGCTCTTTGATTTTAGGTGTACTATAAATCCCAGCAGCTACAACTCCCAAATGACAAAATCCATTTTTTTTGAGTGAATGACATACATTGAGTTGTTAGGTGTCTTGTGTCCAAATTTGGTGTCATTCGCCCAGTGGTTTTTGAGTTCTGTTAATCCCACAAACGAACATTACATTTTTATTTATATAGAAAAAGAAGAAGAAATCCTAAAAATCAGGGGATGTCCCAAACGTTCCGAAACTTGGTGGGCCAAAAGTGGTAGTGTGGCCATTTTCATCCTGATAGTCCTAAAAATGACAGGAAGGGGAGCCTGTGGAGCCCCCTCATTGCCGCCAATGGGCTGGATGAAGCTGCATTTTTTCGGTTGTGGACCGAAAACGGCTATTTGGCTACCCACCCGTTTTCGGGAGGCATGTGAAGACAGATCTGGGGGTCTCTTGAAATTCGGCCAGCGGAAACAGATCAAGGTTCAGCCGAAATGCACAAGCCTAATACATAGCACTATTCCTTGACTATACTTGACTTCTTTTTGGACTTTCAGATGACAAAAAAGGGTTTGTCAAGTTCACAAGCCATCTTCTCAAGTGTAGATTCTGATTGGTCAACACAAATAACATTCTGGAATGCGGGTGGAGTTAGAATGATTTTGAAAACTGACAACTCTGCTTGTGTTCGTTGTAATGGTAGAAACTGTCAAGGCCTGTTGAGACGGGTGGACAAGAGAGGCAACCCAATCAGAATTTTTTCTAGAAGCAACGCCAGAGAGCTGTAAGCATGGCAGATCAGAAACAAAGGAGCTGTTTTTATTAAGTGAAGTTGTCCGGTATAGGAAGAACAGGTAGTCTGAATAGAAGGATATCCAATCATTAAAGAGAAGATAGCTGGATGATATTCCAATTTTGTGGAATTCTTTCCAACTGCTGTGATTTTAGTTGGCTTTAGGAGTCTTCTTATAACAAGGCCTCAACTGTTACTGGGGAGAAGTGGGGCCTGAATTTGCTTGCTTTCTTCTTTCCTCATCAAAAAGTTTTTAATGGGTAGCTTGTGTGCCTCGTTTTCTTTTGATGACCAATTTGTTAGATTATGAGCATGTGGCAGGCAGTACCTTTTCAGTGTTCTCTCTGTACAAATCGCAGAAATGCTAAACACTTGCTGTTGATAACTGCCATTAAGTTAACTGCCGTTAAGTTAAGCCAAGATACCTAATTTTACCACAATAAACTGGAAAATGGATTGATTCGAGTATAAGCCGAGGGCTGGAAATGCAGCAGCTACCGGTAAATTTCAAAATAAAAATAGATACCAATACAATTACATTGACTGAAACATCAGTAGGTTAAATGTTTTCTAAATATTTACATAAAGCTGTAATTTAAGATAAGACTGTCCAGCAGATTAAACCATTATTCTAAACACCTTCAATGAAAATGCGCTTATATATTATTCCAATAATAATAGAGTAAAATAATAAATGTAATAATAACAAGAATACAGTAAAATAATCATAGAATCATAGAGTTGGAAGAGATCTCCTGGGCCATCCAGTCCAACCCCCTGCCAAGAAAAAGGAAAATTGCACCCCCGACAGATGACCATCCAGCCTGTTTGAAAGCCTCCAAAGAAGCAGCCTCCACCATAGTCCAGGGCAGAGAGTTCCACTGCTGAACAGCTCTCACAGTCAGGAAGTTTTTCCTAATGTTCAGATGGAATATCCTTTCTTGTAGTTTGAAGCCATTGTTCTGCATCGTAGTCTACAAGGCAGCAGAAAACAAGCTTGCTCCCTCCTCTCTATGACTTCCTCTCACATACTTATACATGGCTATCATATCTCCTCTCAGCCTTCTTCAGGCTAAACATGCCCAGCTCTTTAAGCCACTCCTCATAGGGCTTGTTCTACATAATAAATGTAACAATAATAGTAATTGAGTAAAATGATAAATGTAACAACAACAACAACAACAACAGAGTAAAATAATAAATAACCCTGACTTGAGTATAAGCTGAGGGGGACTTTTTCAGCCAAAAAAAAAAAAGGATTGTAAAACTAGGCTTATACTCGAGTATATACAGTATGCGAATTCCATGAATGAGAGACCTCCAGCCACCCTATTATCACCAGCCCTGCTCAGGTCTAGCAGACCCAGGGTAGCCATGGCTTTTTTGACTGAGCCTACCCATCTTCTTTTCCTACTGTCTTCTAACTTGCCAAGCATCATTGTCTTGGCTAGGGACAATATGGCCAGAGGACGGCCGTCTCAGTATAGTTGTCTACTGAAAGCCACAGGGTTTTCTTAGGTAAGGAAAACTCAGAGGTAGTTTGCCAGTTCCTTCCTCTGAAATACTGTGCATCCTGCTGCACCTGGTGTTAATTGACTGTTTCCCATCAGAGTTCGAATCACAGTTCAGCATAAACCCATGATAGTACAGCCAAACAAACCCTGACATGTCTTCTTCATTTCTAGTTTGTTTTTGTGCTCTACTTCTTTTATCTTCTCTTCTTGCAAAGATGAGATGCTGAAGACATGATTAGAGGTTTGGAAGCCACAATAAGTGATAGTTTAAGCAAGCCCACAGGAAATTATGGGTTATGATTATGCTTTGTGGCTGGATAACAAACAGGAATGCATAAATACTGGAAGAATTACCACTGTGAAAAGAGCTGTAGCATACACTTCAATAGTAATCTCTCTCTTTGGTTAATTATCGTGACCTTCTAACAGAGACAGTGTTGCCCATCCTGATGAGCCACGCCATATCTGATCATGATGTGTGAACATTGCCTTTATCATTGATAATGATTATGGCACTTCAAAACTGAGCCTGTTTCTGTTGTGTGTATCATAGACATTATCTAGAAACAATTGTGGGTTTTTGTGTGTGTGGATTATGGGAGTGTGCAGGTCATGGATTCTTATGCTGGGAGAAAGACTCATCGTTCAGCTGTGTTACAGCTCACACATAACAGCAAGACTTCTTTCAATAGCTCCTGAAATGGTTCTGTTCAATATACAAGTAGCTCAGATTTGGCAGAAACTCCACAAAGCCCCCCCCCCCTCGCCAGGCCCCCCAAGTCAATGTTTCATTGTTCCCTATTCTGCTCTTCATTAATGAAACAAGCCTGCAATACTTCTTGACAATGCAGCCGTGAGCCTGCCCAGATGCCGATCTCCTCAGGATGTCTGCTGTGTGTCTCACAAGAGGACTAATACTGGGAACCAGTCCAGGTCTTGGTGCTTTGGAGATTAGCTAGGCTGATAGCCTTCTGTCCCTGCTTCTTGTTGCAGAACGATATTTCTGAGGACAGCCTTAGCCATGGCCACCGGAGGAAAGGACAGCTATTCCAGCGCTCTCCACACTAATCGTCTGGTTCATGAGAAGTCCCCTTACCTCCTTCAACATGCCCATAATCCGGTTGACTGGTAAGAGTCGTTTTCATTTCAGGAGCGTGGATTGTAGAAAGATGGAAGAAGGACTGTTGGGAAAATAGCTTTGACATTTCATAGACTGGGGCTTCTTAAACTTTTTCCACTTTTGACCCCTTTCTGCCTTAGACATTTTTACGTGACCCATATAGGTATATAAAATAGGTATAAAAATGAAACATTTACTCATAATAAGCCAGCATTTGTAAGGTTTGCTAAACAGGCCGATTTTCCCTTTTGTGTGGAGTACAGCTGAAGCATTTTCTCCAGATTCCACTGTACACAATGTTGTAACTAACAGATTTGTGTAATGGGTGGTGTTCAGAAACCTTTTACTATTGCCATTTTTTTTTCATAACCCCAGCATTGAGCTAAGGAAACTACATATGGGACCAAGATCTACACGTTAAAAAGCAGCGTGATAGACTTGGAAACCCTCCCATGACACTTGGGTTTCAAGTCTCTCTTCCAAATTTCCATGTCTTATCCCTTGTTGATTTCATTCAGAGCTGCGACAAAGCGAAAGTATTTATACAATATATAGTCCTGTGGCTCTCTTTTTATCCTTTCTCTTCCCTTCCCTTCATTTCTTGTCTCTGTTACTGTTTAAATTTAGCTATAAGCTCCTTGGGCTATAAATGAGCATGTGTGTGTGTGTGTGTGAGAGAGAGAGAGAGAGAAGGAAGGAACGAAGGAAGGAAGGAAGAACCGAGACTATATGAAATACCTATGTGAAATGTCCGGGAACATAGGTTGACCTCAGTTGTGGCTAGAAATGCCACAGTTGGGCATTAGAGGCAGAACGTTTTCAGTGGTGGTAGTTATTTATTTATTTCAAATATTTGTACCCCGTCCTTCTCAACCCCCAAGGGGGGACTTGGGGCGGCTTACAACCGTCAACAGTTCAATGCCAACCCATATATCACAACAATATAACACAAGTTAAGCGTTAATTAAAACATTAAATTATAAAATATCCATTTTGTTGTTAAAGGCAAAGGGCTAATGAAAAATATTGGCAAGCTGAGTATGGATTTCCAGTAATAACGGTTAGCCTCATATTAAGGAAAGCATTGGAGGGGTGGAGATAGCAATGCAGAAGATATATATTTGGCAATGAAATATGCTGCCACCTCTGAATGTCTTTAAGCAGAGATTGCATGGCCATCCGCTGGTACTGCAACTTTGTAATGCTGTTTTTAGAAAGATCTGAAGGGCCCCACTTTCTCTTATTTTACAACGTATTTTTAAATGGGTCCTTTTTATTCAATAAGGTCTTTAATTTTTAAGAGTTCCGCATTGTTTTTTGTTAGGCTTTGTTCTTGGTGCCAATGGTTTCAAATTAATATTTAAAATATTGTATATGTATATGTCATTGCATATACATTATTTGGAAAAAGTTCTATATAAATGGAATAAGGAGTAAATATGCACTGAAAAAAGAGTGAGCAAAGCAGGTATTTCTAATTTGGGAACTTAATTTCACCTTTCCGAGCAGAATGTACAAAAATATGATGGCAGTTTTGAACCGGTTTAATTTTACACATTGTTTCAAAGGGCCTAATCTCCTTCAGTATTGAACACCCCTGGAGGTGCATCTACACTACAGAATTAATACACTTTGACTCCTATGGCTCACTGTTGTGGAATCTTGAGATGTGTAGTTTGATGAGACATTATACTCTTTGGCAGAGAAGGCTAAAGACCTTGTCAACTTACAACTCCCAGGATTCCATAACATGGATTCCATAACATGGATTCCATAACATGGAGTGGTGTCAAACTGCATTAATTCTGCAGTGTTAATACACCCTTAGACAGTTTGGCTACATAGCTCGGGAATGGGCAAAATGTCCCTCAACAAATGCTCTTGGATTGTACAATAGCATTGCCAAAGCTGAGAAATAATAATAATAATAATAATAATAATAATAATAATAATAGATCACATCCTGAGCTGCTGCAAGAAGATCACGTAGAAAGACTACAAGCAGAGGCGCAACACCGTTGCTCAGATGATTCATTGAAACTTGTGCCACAAATACCATCTGCCTGCGACAAAGAACTGGTGGGGTCACAAGCCGGAAAAAGTTACAGAGAATGAACATGCCAAACTCCTCTGGGACTTCCGGATTCAGACCGACAGAGTTTTGGAGCATAATACTCCTGACCTCACAATCGTGTTAAAAAGCAAATATGGATCGTTGATGTCACAATCCCAGGTGACAGCAGGATTGCAGAGAAACAACTGGAAAACCGACACGATATGAGGATTTAAAAATCGAACTGCAAAGACTCTGGCACAAGCCAGTCAAGGTGGTCCCAGTGGTGATTGGCACACTGGGTACAGTGCCTAAAGACCTTGGCCTGCACATAAACACAATCAGCGCTGACAAAATTACCATCTGGCAGCTGCAGAAGGCCACCTTACTGGGATCTGCAGGCATTATTCACCGATACATCACACAGTCCTAGACACTTGGGAAGTGTCCGACGTGTGATCCAATTCAACAGCCAGCAGAGTGTCTGCTGTGGACTCATCTTGTGTTTATAATAATAATAATAATAATAATAATAATAATAATAATAATAATAATAATATATTTATATTCTGACCTATCTCCCCGAAGGGACTCAGGGTGGATTCCAATCACAAAAAGGCAAACATTCAATGTTTGAATACAATAACCAATGCATACGTAATAGGAAAAATAATAACAACCCAACATATAAGAACAAATTACAACATAACAGCTAAAATTAGGGTTCAACATAATCTATCAAATAAATTATATCAACATGAAGCGAAGCATCAACAGAAGCATCAAATTGCCAGAGAATGCTGGGGGTTGCCGTGCTGTCTGAGTCCCTTTCCTAGTGGGAAGCGGAATCCTGAAATCTGCAGTTCCTCAATTCAGTCCTCCCAATTTCTGCAGGAGGCAACGTCAATAATTTCTTGCAGTTATTCAGTACTCAGAAAGATGCTGTTAATCTCTGATGGTCCATAGAGATTTAAAATCAACAGCAAGCCTGAATTTTAATTAAGTGTACAATCTATTCTATGTTCTGTTCTAAGAGCAGTACACGCTTGAGGCGGAGCACCCACGTACACAGACACAGACCTCAACATGCTAGTAGATTTGGTGAGTTAGTTGCTTTGGCAGGTGTTTTGGTCCTTGACCCAATAGCTCTTTCTTTGGAATTAGTAATGGAACATTACAAGAAACCTCTTGATAGTAAAAATTATTCAGTAATTACCATTGCTCAGAGTGGTTACTGGGTTTTCTTCTCTGAGTGTCTTCAAGTAAAGACTGGACAGATGTCTCTTAGGGATGCTTTAGCTTTGAGAGCGAGTTGTGCTGGTCAGTGACCATAATAAAGTTTTGTTGTTGTTGCTGCAATTGAGAGTGTGTGTGTGTGTTGGAGGGGTGCACATGGTACTCAATGACCTATGCATCACTTCAAAACCTATGTTTCTATAATTCTCTACTTACGTTCGTCTGCCTTTTATGGATCAGGGACAGTTAAACTCCCCAGCCACAGTGGACACTGTATGCTCATCTTTTATTTAAAAGTATCACAACAGGTATTGGAAATCACATACTAGAATCCACAGGCAAAAATGAATCAGGTTTTATTCTTTACACAGTTTTTTTGTTATCCTATTTTATACAAAACTGCAGTTGCTGACATTCTCTATCTTCATATAATTGGACTGTTATACAAATCATTTGTGGAGAGAGATTTCCAGCAATTCCAGAAATACCTGTTGTTGTTACACTAAATGTGTAGCCTCTGAAGAGGACCAGTTAGTAGTGCAAGGGCTGGAATACATCGGGGTTTTATGAAACACAATAACTAAAAAACCTGTTTAGAAAATAAAATATAACCATCAATAAGCATCTGAAGACATGCCTTTCCAGAATAGGAAACTCCAGCAATACGTCCCAGAAGCACTTTATTAGAGATTTAAGATTGTCCGCACACTGCACTTACCCAAAAATCCTTATATTTCACTTGGCATACTCAGCACTTTTTAATCTGTACCCATTACACTTGGCCTGGCCTAGTTTTATTGTGCTATGGTGTACTGTTTTTACTGTTTACTGTTATTGCTTTAATGTTTTGATTTGCTTTATGGTTTATGTGTATTTGTTATATTGTTGTTTTATCGAGGCCTTGACCTTAGTAAGCCGCATCAAGTCCTTCGGGAGATGCTAGCGGGGTACAAATAAAGATAATAATAATAATAATAATAATAATAATAATAATAATAATAATGTTCCTTCCTTGGCCTGGTTACTATTTAAACGTGCTTGCATGTGAATATTATTCTTCAAACCAGCTGCCTCCATTAAATGATAGGCATATTAAATGATGATATGCAGAAATAAATCCCTGAATCTTCCTCCCATTCCCTTTCCCTTAGGTACCCATGGGGTCAGGAAGCCTTCGATAAAGCAAAGAAAGAGGATAAGTTGATTTTTTTATCAGGTAATAAAGGAACTGGTTCATTTCATGCTATCCATATGCATATGTTCATAAATTATACATTTATGTATAGTGCACATAGATCAGTTCTTTGCAACATAGAAAAGAAAGCAATGTTGCCTAGTCTCTTAAAAGTTGCTTCAAACCTGAGAGAATAAATGTGTATTTGGGAAGAAGAGAGATTGCAAGAAGTGGCCCTTCATCCCCTGGGGAATTTCTGGTTTTTCATCAGTTTCTAGGAGACATACCCATATATACTCTAGTATAAGCCGTCCTGAATATAAGCCGAGGTACCTAATTTTACCACAAAAAAACTGGAGAAACGTATTGACTCGAGTATAAGCAGAGGGTGGGAAATGCAGCAGCTACTGGTAAATTTCAAAAGAAAAATAGATACCAATATAATTATATTAATTGAGGCATTAGTAGGTTAAATATTTTTGAATATTTATATAAAATGTAATTTAAGATAAGACTGCCCAACTCTTATTAAACCATTATTCTAACCTTCTTCAATGTAAATGTGCTTATGTATCTTTCCAATAATAAAGAGTAAAATAATAAATGTAATAAAAATAATAATAGAGTAAAATAATGGTAATGTAATAACAGTTACAATAGCATAAAATAATAAATGTAATAACAACAACAATAATAAAGTAAAATAATAAATGGAATAACAATAGCAATAGAGTAAAATGATAAATGTAATAATAATAATAAATAGAGTAAAATAATAAATGGAATAAAAATAATAATAACAAAGGAAAATAATAAATAACCTTGACTCGAATATAAGCCGAGGGGGGCTTTTTCAGCTTTAAAAAAGGGCTGAAAAACTAGGCTTATACTTGAGTATATACAGTAAGCCATACCTTCTTGTCTCCTTTTTCTAGAGTGTTCTGACGCTTCTCTTTTAGGATTTGTAGTTTTAATAGGTAAAGGTTTCCCCTTAACATTAAGATTAGTTGTGCCTGACTCTGGGGGGTGATGCTCATCTCCATTTCTAAGCCAAAGATCCAGCGTCGTCCGTAGACACCTCCAAGGTCTTGGGGCTAGCATGACTGCATGGAACGCCGTTACCATCCCATAGAAGTGGTACCTATTGATCTATTCACATTTGCATGTTTTTGAACTGCTAGGTTGGCAGAAGCTGGGCCTAACAGAGAGAGCTCACCCCACTCCCCGGAATTGAACCACCAGCCTTTTAGTCAGCAGTTCAGTAGCTCAGCGCTTTAACCTGCTGTTCCACCAGGGGCCCCTGTAGTTTACATGTGCAATAATATATTTGCATCTTTACTTTCCCATCTCTTTTGGTACTGCTTAGGCTGATGGGGCGATCTAAAAATGTGAAAGCTTACAGACTTTTCAGGCATATTTTGTTGATGTAATAAATAGGGGAACTGAACCCTTTAAAAAGGGTCTGCTCTTTTGTGTTGTTCTTGTTCATTTTAATTATGAATTGATTTTTGTAGTTGCTACAGAACTATCATATTCAGCATAATGTTTCATGTTTCTTCATGTTTCTTAGATTTACTAGCTCTTTACTAGTAGCTGCTTGCTCTCAAAAGGGTCCCTGACATATTATGCCAGAATTTTTCTTATCAGCGAGGCTAAAACCTTTCTGCCAACTTTAATCCATGCATTCATTTTTGTGCATATATATATTCTTCCTCACTTATTTGCTAAGCTCCTTAAATTATATTTCTGCAGAGGGTCACAGCTGTTGTGTTTCTTCTTAGGCTACATCTCTCTGTCATTATAAAAATAATTTCTGAAGTTTGCTTTGTTCATCTGTAAGTCCCTTATTAACAGACCGCATTTGTTTTTAGTTGGCTATTCAACCTGCCATTGGTGCCATGTGATGGAGCACGAATCCTTCCAAAATGAAGAGATTGGTCAAATTTTGAATGAGAACTTTGTGTGCATCAAGGTGGATCGTGAGGAGCGGCCCGATGTGGACAAAGTTTACATGACCTTTGTGCAGGTGTGGAGTTGGTACTTGGAGGGGCAGCAGAAGGAGAAGTTGGAGAAAACTCTTCTCCTTGCTTGCTCTGGATGGCTGTGGGAAGGGAATCTTAACACATCCCATCATGTCTTCTGCAGGCAACCAGCAGTGGAGGGGGCTGGCCAATGAGTGTATGGCTGACTCCAGACCTTAAACCTTTTGTAGGGGGGACCTATTTTCCTCCTGAGGATGGCATTTACCAAGTTGGCTTTCGGACTGTTTTGCTCCGCATCCTAGAGCAGGTAAGGGTTCAGTACCCAAGGCTGTGTTGTAATGTCAGGTTCTTCCTGGAAAAAGAATACCAGTGATCAAACTGATCCGCCATTAGTGCTGGTTCTGACAGTGATGATTAATGGGGAAACATGGACTAATTTGGACTGTTGAAGTTAGTGATGGTTCCATGCATACAGAAAGAAAGGGAAAGTGAATAATAGGTACAGATTTCCCATGTTTCATCCCTAAGAGGTAGAAATTAGTTAATATCTCCACTTCTTTTTATTGTACCTCTGAAATCACTTGGGAGTCTAGTTTTAATTAATACTATGTATGCACTCTTTTCAATTAAACACTTTTGTTGTTGTTCTGGGGCCAATTCTGACCTGGCTGCTGAATTAAAGCTTATGGGAACACTTCCAGTACAGATGTGCTGATGGCAGATGTAATGTCCCTAAAAATCACTCACTATGAATTGCCTCCTCTATATTAATATTTTATTCCTGGATTCATACTTGTGAAGAAATTGTTGGGCGAGTGGGCTTCTTAGCAAAAGACCTTCCCCATAAATGTATAGCAAAGTAACTTACTAGCAACAGCGTGACCCAGCGCCAGTAGCAAAAGTGATAAAAAGAACAAAAACACACAGACCAATGTTATCTTTTCCATAGGAGGCTTTTCTTTGTAGTAAAATAATATGGTTGAACTATTTACAAGAACATGGTTTCCATAACACAAATAAAGTTCTTTATACTTCCTTCTTTGCTTCCATGGTGGGCTTCTTTCTTATGCAGATAAACAGTTATCACACCAGGTTTTCTCACACTCGGTCTTCTGATAGACTAAGGTGTGAGGCCTTCTCACAGACAGGCCTTTCTCCCTCTGAGGTTTACCTTAGACTGATGGCTACTAAGTTACTAGCACATCTGCTTATATAATATTGCAGCTTTTGTTGAATCATTGCATCCATTTAACCCTTTCAGTTCTTGACTCACATTTTTAAAATTAAAAATACCTAGTTAATTTTTAATATTTCTGATAGAAATATCCTCAGTGGGCAAATCAGACACCTCTTTCAAGCATCATAGCACGTTTTGCTTTAATACTAGAAAGCACCCTCAAAAATCTATGTGAGAAAGAAGTGGACCCCCCACCCCCCCCCCCCCCCCCCCCCCCCGGCCCCCCCCCCCCCCCCCCCAGGAGATTGATGGTTGGGTTAGGCAAAAAACGTGAACAGACAGTAACCGAACTATGACTTAGATGTCTTCCCCTCCTCACAACCTTTTTTCTTCCAGTGGAAACGGAACAGAGCTGCCCTTTTGGAAAACAGCCAGAAGATCTTGTCTGCATTGCTAGCCAGGACGGATGTTGGTGTCCGAGGGGAGGAAATGCCTCCTTCTTTGAAGGAGGTGATGAGCAGATGTTTCCAGCAACTCTCAGAGTCCTATGATGAAGAATATGGTGGATTCTCAGAGACTCCCAAGTTCCCTACTCCAGGTTGGTTCAAGATTAACAACAGTGGGATGCCTTTGACCATTCCTGGGCTCGGGGTCAATTAGGAGGAGGTAGCTCTCCATGAGCAATCGTGTTGGATTCATTATTTGCCCACTTTCTTGTTTTGCAGTTAACATGAATTTCCTCTTCTCCTACTGGGCTCTTCATCGATCCACTTCTGAAGGAGCTCGTGCTCTTCAGATGGCCCTGCACACACTCAAGATGATGGCATATGGTGGCATTCATGATCATATTGCTCAGGTAAAATGGGAGATGGTGTTATGTTGGTGGGTTCCACTTTTTGCAGTCAGAGGTTTTGAAAATAATCCTTTTTTCACCCTGCTGTGTACATATATCATCTTTGCAATAAAAATCACCCTCCTTGCAACTTGCTAAACAAGTGAAGTGAGGAACACCATTTCCATAGAAAGGATGGCACAGGGGTGACTCATTATTTGTGTCTCCTTTTCCATGAAAATCTTCCTTGTGAATCTTTTGGACATTGTGGGAATGTGGATTGCTGGAATATTTGATGGAAGTGGTAGAGGGGTCGCTGGGGGATTTCTTGGTGGCTTGGTCACAGTTCAACCGTCTCTGGGGAAATATTATATCCTTTGAAGCTGGATGTTCAACTGGGATCCAGGTCAGCATGTGAAGTGAAATATAGGGCCCATAAATGCTAGGCAGTAAGTGGAGTTCTTGAACATACTTTAAATTTTCTACTTGCCTGTGAGATGAAATAGAAATAGGTGTCTGTTTTTCGATGCAAGAAAGATGATAACAGAAATGTTACGGACAAGTATATGCACCTGGAGAGACTGACTGAAAGCATTTGTGGGCCACAGGCCGATTTCAAAAAGTTGTTGTTCAGGTTTCCAGCCAAATTATGCTGTCCACACAAATGTCCTATTCTCACATCCCCTGACTTCCCTCAATGAGTCAGCATTCCTGACTTGCTGACTATGTTCAGTTCTCATCATACTATTTTGGGATGTCCATCCCTGGCTGTATTAAAACCTGAAATTTCTATGCTGATTTCTGTCAGAAGCTATTGCTTGTCTTTGCAAGAGAGGGGTGCATTTAAAAATAGCTTCTCAGTGCAAAGCAGAACTACACAATGAAATGGTCTCTCTAGATTTAAATATATATCTAAAACCTAAAGTCACCAGATTCCAGCTGATCTTAAAAAAACTAAGCGCAGTCAGCCCAGATTAGTACTTGGCTGGATTCATTGATAGAGTACCAATGAATACTGGGTGCTGTAGTCTATTTCAGAAAAAGGAACTTGGAAAACCACCTCTGAGTCTTTCTTGCCCATGAAAACCATAGGACACACATGGGGTCACCATAATTTTATAGGCATTTTGCACATATACACACATATCAATGCATTTCTTCTTCTTCCTTCCATTTTCAGCCACTTTATTCTATCCATCCTTCCAACTGGCTATCCATTTCTCCCTTCTCAGTTGTCAGATAGCATAATGGGAATACTTCTGGGGTAGTGCCTTCTTGCTTCTGGCCGATGTATTTGGTCAGTTTAGTTTTATACTTCTTAATATTCTGTGGTTTTCCTGGGACTTCCAGAATCTCTTTGTGCAGATGTGGTGCATTTCAACTTCACATTCAGACAATTCAGTGGTATTTCGGCAACTCTGAAATAGAATATATGGTTTACATAGGATCAGAATTACATGATTACAAGTAGATAGTGACAAAGTTCCTCCTCTGGAGCCTCCCTGGGAAAAATGTGGCCTCATCTTTTTGTGGTTTCCAGAAGTCAGCTCAAGCAAATCCTTGTGATGATCACCTTCCATTTGGAAACCTACATCCACAATGTGAAAGACCACATGTATCCAGAATAGGTCTTCATAGTTATTTAAGGATCCACCAGTAAAACTTTATCTCTGGAAGATAGTCATACTCAACCACAAGTGATTGCCCACGACGAGGACGATGATGGCCTCCCCATCCACTTGGCTCTCTGGGTTGTTTTGGAACCTCTATGTTTGGGTAGCTTGGACTGTATATTTTTGAATTAACTCAAGATAATCCTAGTTTAGACAAACATTTCAGTTAAAAATTAGGTGTGGGAGATCTAACCACAGTTCCAAACTAGGGAGAAATCATTAAATTGTTCGTCTCCTCTTCCTCTTCTTCAGGGCTTCCATCGCTATTCCACTGACCAACGTTGGCATGTCCCTCACTTTGAGAAGATGCTGTATGATCAAGGGCAACTGGCAGTAGCTTTTGCCAAGGCATTTCAGGTATTACCCAGCAAGAGCTCTCTAAGCAATGTCTCGTAGACTTCACTCTAGAGCCAGAAAGACTGGTGAATGAACAATGCTCTTTTCAAGCAAAAGTGGGACAGGAAACAGGTTCTTATGCTGGGATGTTTGTGGGAGACAAGGAGGAAATGGTGAATTTCCAAAGTAGTAGAATACCACATGATTGCCCTTTTTCCTGTAGATTTAGATTGCGATTGTTAGCTATGCTGGAGAAGGGAAATGCTACAGTTAGAAAAGAAACAAAATAAATTCTCTCTCTGTGAACTCTGACCCAAGTCATTTAGTCAATAATAATAATAATAATAATAATAATAATAATAATAACAATAATCATCTTTATTTATATCCTGCCCAAAAGGGACTCTGGGCAGCTTACAAGGCACTACAAATGCACTATATAACATAAACAGTGCGTGAGTATAAAAACAATATCACAAAGTTATAAAAACAACCACTATTAACACATCAAATAAAATAAAAAACAGTTTAAAACTCAAGGCAAGGATGGAGTGATAGTGTCAGGGACTTTCCTAGATGTGACTGTAAAACATTCACTTTGATAGCATAAAAAGAACATGAAAAGACTGAAGCATCTCTGGAAAAGTACTGTATTTCTAAGTACTTTCTTTGGTCTGTTCCTCCCAGAAATCCCTCAGTAGTCTTTGACATTCTGCAGGATGTAGTCCAAGAGAATAATTATCATTGTTGTATATTTGCTAATGTCTGGATCTTCAGTTGGAATCCAGGTCAATCCATGACTTGAGATATAATTGCTAGTTAACCAGGAAAGTACTTGAACCCACTTTAACCTCAAATTTCCCACTTGTCATTCAAATGATTTGGAGATAGATGGAAATTACTAGGTGAAAGAAGATTAAATAAGGAGACATTATTATAAACAGATACTTAGCTCCTTGAACCCAGTGATTCATGCATAGAAAATAAAGCAGAGGAAAGGAAAATATTGTGTTGCTTACCTTGTTCCTCTTAAGTTGTTTGTGGTAATAGAGGGAGAAAGTGCATACTGTGCAACATTTCACCCCTCTTACTGTCATTCTTCTTAGTAATGTGGCAGCTCAGGAGTGAAATGAAAACAGAGCAATGTGGGGGCTTGTTGCTTTGTGTATTTTTAAAAATAGTTTATTTTAAGATATTCATATTTATTATTGGTGTACTTGGTCTGTTTGTCTGTATGATTTTAAGATGTTGCAAGCCGCTTTGGGTCCTGTGAGGGAGAAAAGCAGGATATAAATAAATATTTATTATTATTATTATTATTATTATTATTATATTATTATTATTATTATTATTATTATTATTATTATTATTATTATTATTATTATTATTGTAGAACAGCTGGTATTTATACAGGATTGTTTGGAGGGGAGTGAAACAAGAATTGGTTCTCAGGAACAAAGACATCTATATTGTATTGTCAAAGGCTTTCATGACTGGAATTACTGGGTTGTTGTGCATTTGGCCCACCCACTGTATTTTATTTTCCATTATGCTATTTTGTACTGTTTATTTTACTTGATTGGTTTATTTATTTTATTGTGATGTTATTTTTTTGTTTATATTTTATGTTGCTGTAATGTATCACTGGGCTTGGCCTCATGTAAGCCACGCTGAGTCCCCTTTGGGGAGATGGTGGCGAGTGTAAATAAAGACTATTATTATTATTATTATTATTATTACTATTATTTTTGGGTTGTATGGCCATGTTCTAGAAGCCTTTCCTCCAACGTCAGGAGAGAATGCTTCTAGAACGTGGCCACACAGCCCGAAAAACCTACAACAACCCAGACATCTACTTTCCTTCTCTATGGTAGTCATGCTTTATGGCAGTGGTTGTCAAGCTGTGGGCCCCCAGATGTTTTGGCCTTCAACTCCCAGAAATCCCAACAGCTGGTAGACTGGTTGGGATTTCTGGGAGTTGTAGACCAAAACACTTGGGGACCCACAGGTTGAGAACCACTGCTTTATGGTGAGATAAATTCTTTTGGGACTTCAGCCAGAGCAGCCCCTCCTAGGAAGTGACTGGGTGGGAATGGGTTACGTGACCTGACTTCCCTGTATTACTTTTCACACAACGTCTCCCAATTCTGTAAGTATATCCAACTTCCATCTTGCTGTTTCTCAAAAGGTAGGCGTTCAAGCACCTACAGGTTGGGTGAAGGTGGGTGGGTGGGAACTAGGAAGGAGAAAAGAATTCCGCATTTTGTTCACTCAAATGGAAACCAAAGCAACATTTCTGTGCTGTTTGGAGGGCTCTTTTGAGGCAAATCCAGTATTCTGAATGTGTAGCATAAGTAGCTGTTGATGCAAATGCAGCTAGATATGAGAACTTTTCTGACAAACCATTCTCCTACTCCATCCTAATTTTAATTCCCCATTACCGGGCTTTCCAGATGCAATTTGAAAAGGATTTGCTGTTGTGGAATCCATGAGAATTAAGAAGATTAGCCAAGCAAGCCACTAAACCAGCCTCCCTGCTGCCTTTGCATTTGGATTATTGGCCTCCCTATATCCTGAGATGATCTTGGTTTCACGTCCTCTCTTCTGCTCATAGCCCTGGGGGTGTCACATTCAGATCACCAGCATTTTGAAAATAGGTTTAAGCTAAGGCACTGTATGGATGCTGTCATTCCTCCAGAGTCTATAGCCAGAAAACAAAAACCTGGATAGATCTGGCTGTTCTTTGGGATATACCCAGTTGTGTGGGGAAAGGAATGCCTCTATGAGCAGGGTGTGTACAAGTGCCTCAGGAAATCCATGGGGTGGTGAACCAATTACTTGTCACTCTGTTGCGTCCTGAGCTACATCTATTTTGTGGCAATTTTATTTCTGAGGTTATAGAGTGGGGGAACCATTGAACCATATATGCCCCCAGAAAACCAAGAAGAGAGCATGCATCCCTTGCTCCCAGTTCCTATCATTTATTCAATAGGTAACAGCTGCTCAAATGCCCTGGGACCAAAAAACCTGGGTGTGAATTTTTTCCACGACTGGGTTTTTCCGCCCCAGAAAGGCTTTTGACATTTGATTTGTAATGGCAAACCAAAATCTTTTTTTCCCTATTTATTCCAACAGCAGTACTATCCTTTTGGATTTTTACATGTATTAATTTTTTAATGTACTTTATTTTTATCCCGCCTTTCTCCCGATATAAGGACTCAAGGCAGCCCTGCCGACTTCACTGTGGATGAATTGTCCTTGCACCAGCATCATTTCCCACAATTAACGCATCATTCCCATAGAACAGCACATTGTAAACTGCAAAGATTATTCACCAACCCACTCCATTTGCCCACTTCTCATTTTCTCAATAATGAACTCTTCTTTATGTTCTTAAACAGATTTCTGGTGATGAATTATTTGCAGACACTGTGGCTGATATTTTGCTATATGTTTCCCGGGACCTGAGTGACAAGGTGAGCTACCATTGCAGGGTTTTCTCTTATGACCTTTGGAACCTGTTTGGTTGGCCACCAGCATCCATCTCCGTTTTTAATTCTGGACCTAGGTTCCAGCATCACGGGCTAGAAGTAATATAGTCCTAGTGTATCCTTAGTATCATAGAGTTGGAAGAGACCTCATGGGACATCCAGTCCAATTCCCTGCCAAGAGGCAGGATAATCACATTCAAAGCCTCTCCAACAGATGGCCATCCAGCCTCTGTTTAAAAGCAAGCTTGCTCCCTCCTCCCTGTAACTTCCCCTCACATATTTATACATGGTCCTCATCATGTCTCCGCTCAGTCTTCTCTTCTTCAGGCTAAACATGCTCAGTTCTTTAAGCCACTCCTCATAGGGCTTTTTCTCCAAATCCTTGATCATTTTAGTCGCCCTCCTCTGGACACATTCCAGTTTGTCAACATCTCCTTTCAACTGCAGTGCCCAGAATTGGAAACAGTGTGATTCCAGGTATGGTCTGACCAAGGCAGAATATTGGGGTAACATGACTTCCCTGGATCTAGACACTGTATTCCTATTTATGCAGGCAAAAATCCCATTGGCTTTTTTTAGCTGCTGCATGACATTGTTGGCTCATGTTTAACTTGTCCACAAGGACTCCTGAGATCTTTTTTCACACGTACTGCTGCCAAAGCACACCCCGCTCCCCCCAAACAAGTACAGAGCTTCTTATTCCTCTGAGACACATTCTACTTGATATAGGCTGCAAGTTATTCAGGCTTGTTCTAGAGAAGGAACCTAGGGTTAGCTTTGAATTACATGGATGTTTCAGTGTTCCTTGCCATTCTACTTAGAGAACGGAGTGGTTTCTATTTTTTGTAGCAGTTAAACATGAAGTGCTTACATTAACTCATGGATAAGTTGATTAAGGATTTTATAGTTTATTTTTGACTAAAATGGCTAGACCTGTACTTGAGTATACAAAATAGTATGTCTGTTTGCCACTGTATTTGAGTTACCTCATCAGATCATCTCTCAACCTTTGTGTTACCTCATCTGATCATCTCTCAGAATGTCATTAACATGTGCCATAAAAATTAACATGTGCCATAAAAATTAATAATGGACTAGAAGCTAACTGCCTCTTCTTGGGGCTGTGATTCTCTCAGGTGGTGTGGAGGCCAATTAGAATCATATTAAATGCAGAACTTCTTTCTTTCACTGGGGGTTTCCCTCACCGCTCCTTTGATTGTGGTTCCTAGCCAGCCTCTCCAATTTTTCCTTGGATACCTCCAAGGCTAAATCATTGCTCTTAAAGCTTATTCCTAACTCATTCCACCAAAACAAACACTTAAAATTGCCAAGCCATACCCCAAGGATCATGACCATGCATGTGTACAGGCTTCCTAAATGTTTTGGAGCAAGTTTTTCCCGACTGCATTGTCAATGATGTCTCTGTGTTGGGGGAGCGGACTGGTGTATGTACTTCAGATGGAGTGTACATTAATGGTGCTGCTTTTGTTTCTAGTCTGGGGGATTCTACAGTGCAGAGGATGCAGATTCCTACCCCACTGCCAAATCAGAGAAGAAGCAAGAAGGGGCGTTCTGCGTGTGGATGGCCGAGGAGATCCGGCAGCTCCTGCCAGACCTCATTGAAGAGAGCCCAGAGAGAAAGAGCGTGGCAGATGTCTTTATGCACCACTATGGGGTTAAAGAAGACGGCAATGTGAACCCAATGAAGGTGATATGGGCAGGAAGATGCAGCCTGGGAGTGGCCTGGATGGGGCATGGGCCTAATAATTCCTGATTTGGAATTTGGAAATGGGTTGTCCCGATCCATGTCAGAATAGGGAGAAAAAGCAACCTACCTGCTTGCAAGCTGAGCAGTTGTTGAGGAATATGACCAATCAGAGAAAGTACTATTGAGACTTCTGAATTAGATGACAGAGGGGTGTGGAACAGTGGGTTGCTGTGAGTTTTCCGGGTTGTATGGCCATGTTCCAGAAGCATTCTCTCCTGACATTTTCCCCACATCTATGGCAGGCATCCTCAGAGATGGTGTGGTTTGTTGAAAACTAGGCAAGTGGGGTTTATATATCTGTGAAATATCCAGGGTGGGAGAAAGAACTCTTGTCTGCTTGAAGCAAGTGTGAATGCTGCAGTTGATCACCTTGATTAGCATTGAGTAGCCTTGCAGCATCAAGGCTTGGCTGCTTCCTGCCTGGGGGAATCCTTTATTGAGAGGTGATTAGCTGGACCTGATTGTTTTGTCTCTGTAATTCCCCTGCTTTTTGAGCGTTGTTCTTTATTTACTGTCCTGATTTTAGAGTTTTTTAAATACTGGTAGCCAGATTTGGTTCATTTTCATGGTTCCCTCCTTTCTGTTGAAATTGCCCACATGCTTGTGGATTTCAGTGGCTTCCCTGTATAGCCTGACATGGTGTTTATTAGAGTTGTTCAGCATTTCTGCTGAACAGAATATGCTGTGTTCAGGTTGTTTCATCAAGTGCTCTGCTATGGCTGACTTCGCAGTCTGAAATAGTCTGCAGTGCCTTTCATGTTCCTTGATTCGTCTTTGGACAATGCTGTGTTTGGCGGTCCCTATATAGACTTGTCCACAGCTGCATGGTATACGGTAGACTCCTGCAGTTCATTTCTTAGTGGGTTTGTAGATAGTAAGATGTGTGGGACAGTTTGAGCTCTACATCAGTTAAAAACAATCTGGCCACTAGCATCAAAGGGAATACTGCATGCTGCTGAGGAACATGGGCTTCCAAGTGCCTGTTTTTGGGGAAGCACATGGCAAGCCAAACTCTCTCCCAGAGAAATAGAGCTCTACTCATCCCTAACTACACAGACACATGTATATGTTTCACAGTGGGATTTCCTCAGGAATATTGTCTCATCAATTAGATATATCAATTACATATTTACTTTCTACAACAAACCACTGACTAAAGCATATGAAAAGCAATAGCTATAGATGAGGAAAGCACATGCTGTGATAAAGAAATGACTTTCACCATTTCAGTGAGAATTTCTTTTAAAAGAAGTTAAATGTATTGCCTAGTTTGATTCCTAGAATTCAAAGTCCCTTTCCAGCTATCTACAGAGCCACATTCTGCTCACTGATAGCAACAATCAGAAGACATAGCATGACGCAGAAGCTTGTGAATCACAGAGGGAAATGCAATATTACTTGCCCATTTCAAGCCATTCTACCTCTCTGTCTCTCACACCTCTTACCCATTTTGAAATATTTTTATGTGTTTCCAGTTGTATCATACACTGGAAATACTGTGAAATAGCATCATTTCATACAAAGAATCATTTGTAATTATAACAGATAATCACACATATTTATCAATACTTGCATTTAATTAATCCTGTACTATGTGGGTATGCCCAGAGCTTCTTTAGCCCCCAAACTCTCAGCAGCTTATAGAAAAGGAAGCAGTAAGGGGTTTCTCAACAGGTCCTGGCTAGAGCTCATGGGTTATATCTAGAACCTACATTTTGTCTCTTTTTCTTGCTCTTTTTTCATTTTCTTTGCGTCTTGCCTAATTGCATTGCCCTTAGCATTCTTCCTGGTTCTACTATTTTGTCCACATCATTTTCTGTCAATTATGGAGACATATATGGCTTGTATACCAACTATGTGATTGTCTGTTTCAATATGTAGGTGGGTATATATGTGTGTGCATGTGTGCTTTCAAGTCAGCTGTTGACTTGTGGCACTTGATACATTTCATAGGGCTTTTTCTGGCATGGAATACTCACATGTGTTTTGTTATTATCTATCCCTAAAATAGGGCCTCTGGCACTGTGTATTCCTTGGAGATCCCCACCCAAGTATTAACCAGGCCTGACTGTGCTTAGAGAGAGAGAGAGAGAGTCACTTTTTATGGGCCCTGAGGAATCATTTTCTTGCAATGCAACCATGGCAATATTGTGCAGCATGAGTAACATCGATGTCTAGTGCAGAAACAGCCTCTGGTACAGAATCAATCTTTTAATCACCACCTTCAGCACTAAAGCCACTTAATACCTCCCTGTATTCCCTCTTTCTTTGTGTCTAGTGGCCTCCTTTCTTCTAAAATGTTTATAACAGGTGTTGGGGAATCTGAGCTGTTAGGCTCAAAAAATAACCCTCAGTTGGGGTGATTCCACCATAAATATAGCAGAGTACAGAAGCAAACTTCATAACCAGCAGAAACTTATGTGTGGCGAGCTGGGATAAGCTTTTGCTCCATAGGATGGCACAGAATTGCAGAGTCAGAAACTTAGGTTCAAAAGAATTTATTGAAGTAAAAGAAATACATTCTTGATAGAAAAGGTCTTGGAGCTAGCTTTCTAAGTCTCATCTTCTAAGAAAGGTAAAAAAGGTAAAAAGTTAAAAAAAAGCCATGCAGCTACATTTTGCCTAGAGAGAGGCAAAATGCGTCTTAACTGAAAGGAAGAGAAGAAAAGGCAGAAGAGATTGGAAAATGGAGAATGACCACATGGTCAAGCCCAGGGCAATAATAATACCTTTAAAAAAGGAAGTTTCCTTACAGATATTCCATTGCTGCATCTTCAGAGGGGGAGGAGATAGTGGCCAAGAAGGAAGAGTAAAGCCAAAGCCTTTTATGGAAAAGCATGCATAGGAAAATCTCTCACTCTAATCCTATCTCTAGTCTAGCTCCTCATTGAGTTCTGGAAACTTGATGACACAAGAGACTTGTGCAGTTCAGGGATGAAACGCAACAACAGGGACGCAGAATCTTTTTACAGCACCCCATTTTAGAGATTGTCTTAATGTTGGGTTGAATATCAGGAAGTTAAAAGTAATCCCAGTAACGTGTGTGTGTGTGTGTGTATAAGCCTTAGAAGGATGATGACATGAGTCTGACTTCAAAAGTTCTTATTTCTTCTTGTTGGCTTTTGGTTTCAGGACCCTCACAATGAGCTGAAAGGCAAAAATGTCCTGATCGTGCAGTATTCCCTAGAACTTACAGCTGCCCGTTTTGGACTGGGGCTGGAGCAGCTGAAGACGATGCTTGTCAAAAGTAGAGAGCAGCTTTATAAGGCACGGGCCCAACGGCCACGGCCCCATCTGGACACCAAGATGCTGGCTGCTTGGAATGGTGAGCCTCCCCTTGTGGGTTCTCCAGCACCGAGCTCAGGGACACGAATGCTAGTGCGCATTGGGAAGGCACAGGGCTGTTCATTCTGCCATAATACAGCAATCAGCCAAGTAATATCACTCTGTGTAAGCTTAATAATATCTCATTAGATCTACCTCTCTGATATTGGAACTAAAGCGCCTGATGTGGTAAAAATTTATTTTTCCTCGTTCCTCTGTCCCCGGTATATTTTTCTTATCCCTGATGGCAGCATGAGAGCAAAATGCTTTCTTTTGTTTCGCCAGCAGGGAGCAGCAGCAACTTTCTCCTGTTTTCTTCACAGGAGTTTTAGAAAAGTCTCTTTTGTTCGCCCATCATGTCACGCTTTCCCACATTTTCACATTATATACAGGGGCAGGGGGCACAATCCTGTCCATGCTGAAATGGAGATGCCTAAACAAATAATGGAAAAAGTGGGAGGCATGTTTTGAGACTGCCTACAGCATGGGGTTTCGGAATTCATGGATATTCTTTTTTCTCAAAACACAGTGCAAGTAAATAGCGAAAGGTAAAATGTTTGGATTGTACACACCAGTAAATTATCATTGCCGCTAGATATGGTCAATGCTACTTCCCATTGGTAGCCTGTCTTCTGTATTAAACGGACCACGAGTAAATTTGGAAAGTTCATCTGTGAGCAGCCATCTCAATGGGAAAGGAACTTGGGTCAGTGAGATAATTAGGATTTCTGAGTGCCCTCTGCCCGGTGTTTTGCTGATTACCAGGAGAGGCAAGCTTCTCACATAATATTTTGAGTCTGCAAACTCCAAGTGAGCCCTGTTGGGGACTCTGGCTTTCTCCTTGTCTCCTAGGGTTGATGATCTCTGGCTTTGCTCAGAGTGGAGCCATCTTGGGTAAGAAGGAGTATGTTGACTGGGCTGTGAACGCAGCTGACTTCTTGCGGAACCACATGTTTAATGCCAGCAATGGAAAACTGCTCAGAAGCTGCTACCGGGGAAAAGAGGACTCAGTGGACAAGAGGTATGTGGCGAGTGAGCCCAGCCTAGGCAAGGGGAAGAAAAACTGGCTATGTCTTGAGAAAAACGGAGCACAGCTCTGCTGTAAAGGTCCCAAGTTCAGTTTATATAACATCTTCTTTAGAATGAAGAAACAGATAGTGGGGAAGACTCTGCTCTGCCTGAGACCCAGAAGACCTGATTATGCTAAATGGACAAAACATCCAACCTGGGAGGTCTGTTTGTGTTTCCATAGTCTTTAGGGAGGAGAGTGGGAAATTCTGGAGTTCTCTCATGAGGAGAAAAACTTTAATTTGTACATGGGGAACCTTTGGCCCAACAGCAGTTTTGCTCAACAACTCTCATCAATCTCACCTAGCACAACCAGAAGTATTGTGGGAGCTGTGTGGCCCAGAAACTTCTCCACCCTCGCTTTAAAGTAATGATGCCCAAACTCCAGTTCTCCAGATATTTTTGGACTTCAACTCCCAGAAGCCTCATTTGTATTGGCCATTGATCAGGAATTCTGGGAGCTAAAGTCAAAACACCCGGAAAACCAAAATTTGTAAAACACCACTTAAATGTTTGTGAGTACTGAAATCAGAAATCAACCAGACAAGACTTCTAATAGCAGGGCTTCTCTGTATAACTTGCTGTTTTCTTTCCTAAGACCCGTTTTCTCTTTTTCCTTTGGCTTTTGTTTATCTCATTGGTCTCTTTTCCCTTCCTTCCTATATTCTGTCACTTCCACATACTGAGAAAGAATGGATGCTTACAATTCAGAGTTCATATTATGTTGGAATTGTGTAGATGTGTAGTTCTGGATATGAAATGGAGAGATAGTAATCTGCGAGTTTTTTGTGAAGTGGTTCAAGATCCCTGAGTGTGTCCTGAAGCATGAGAAGCAGATTTTATTCCGGTGATAATGGCAAGCTCCCACTGCTGGAATAATGTGGCATTGCTGTTTCATTGAGCAGGGAAGCGTGTGACTTCAGTGTTGATTTGTGGAACTTGTTTTTCCTTATCTTCTTACCCCTGTGAGTTACTGGTGAGCCTGTAAAATTACATATTTATGCTTACTAATAAAAATACTCTTATTAAAAATAATAAATACACAACCCGTTTGAAATAGATAGTATTCCTGCCTGAGGAATTTATCAAACAAGGCAGGCAAATCACAATTACAGCAAGATAATAGTGTCTTTGCCTCGGACTGATCACATGACATTGTTCCTTTCCTGCTGCTCTCCTCATACGAAACAGCCTGAAAAACATTTATTTTACAAAAACAACAAATCTGTTAATTAACTCCTTTTGTAAAAGAAACACCTTCTCTCCTGGGAAAGAAGCACCATCATATGATAAGCCCAAGGCTAAGACACTGTTGTCTTGCTGTAATTGTTATTTCCCTGCCTTCTGTGATTATTTTGTGTGTGTGTGTGTGTGTCAGGAGCGACTTGAGAAACTGCAAGTCACTTCTGGTGTTAGAGAATTGGCTGTCTGTAAGGACATAGCCCAGGGGAACATCTGGATATTTTATCCTGTGGGAGACTTCTCTCATGTCCCTGCATGAGAAGCTGGAGCTGACAGATGGGAGCTCACCCCACTCTCTGGGTTCAAACCGCTGACCTTTTGGTGAGCAGTCCTGCCGGCACAAGGGCTTAACCCATTGTGCCACTGGAGGCTTCTGCCTTCTTGATAAACTCCTCTAAGTGTCCAAAGTGCTACAAGTGTATTAACTTGATGTCCCTTTTTAAGAGCCCTGTAAAGTAGGCCAGTACATTCAGACTCATAAAGCAGTCAGCAAACAAGCTATATATCTCCTTGTAAGTTGTGCTTGAGGCTATATTGCAGGTGCAGCAACCTCCAGGCTCATAAACCACCAGACAGAATCACCTTGTATATTACAGAAGCCATTAAGTTCAGGCACTTGTGTGGATTCTATGTGGAAGGGTGTGCATGCATGTTGGAATAAAGGATAGATTTGTACTGGATGGCTGCAGTTTGAGTTGCCAGCGTGGGTGTGCATGAGAAGGGCCAAGGGGGCAGGTGCTTCCCTGCCCCTGAGATGTGCAGCCATTCACTGGAGGGAGCAGCTGTGGTTCCTCTTGGCTCTCTGCAGCAGCTCGACAGGTGCTCACCTGACTCTGTCTGGCTTTGCATATATAATAAACTGGTGTCAAGCTTCTGACAACAGAAGCTGTGACGAACCCTCCTCCTTTACTCACTCCTTCCCAAGTCTGCTCTGCTCTTCAGCAAACACAAATCAAGCCTGTGTGAATAGAGATTAAGACAATCAGACAAAGAGGACAATTTGCCAGGCTACTTAACTCTGACAGGTGCTCCACTCCATACCTGCCTCTTGCTTGTCAGGCTGAACTATGCTTAAGTCGCTGGAAAATCGAGATAGGGGCAGAAATAAGAGAGAGAAGGAGATAAAGGAGCATGCGGGAGGTGAGCATGTGCAGAGTGGGGATCATGTTAAAACTATACTTATATTTAATTAGTGCCGGCCTTCTCCCAGACTAATGTCCCTGGCAAATTATTTTACTCCTGTCAGTGTCTGCATGGGGTGGGGGCTGAAGTTCTGGTGATTTGCTTGCCTTGAGTCAGAGAATGTGTCAACCTCTGCCTTGGTAAAGTGGGCTGGCTCTTTGTTGTGCCACCAGGGAAGCATTCCAGAATTGCCCATGCTTTCCTTCCCAAGCATCCTGGTGGAAACCGTAAGCTCTTCCAGTAACACTCCATACTAAAATACGTCACTCTAATATAGTTTCAAAGCAGCTCAGCCACGAAACCCATTGTGAGCACTTCCAGGCAGCCCTGTTGACACAGGAGTTCACGCAATGTCCAGATGATGTCCTAGGCAAACCCAAATTAATTCACCACAAACCAGGAAAACCCTGGTTTGTGGCAAATTAATTTGTTAGTGGGTTTATTCCGCACCTTCTTGGAAAGTTCCAGGACAACATCTGGACTCCCACTCCAGAAAGCATGTGCCTTCTGGGGTGAGTGTGGATGGGGACCCGGGAACATTTGTGTTTTTTAAATGCGAATGTTCTCTGGTTAAAGGGCTATGTGGAAGCACCCTGGGTGACCTTGGGCAAGTCACACATTCTCATCCTCAGAAGAAGCCAATTGCAAACCTCTTCTTAACTAATCTTGCCAAGAAAATTCAGTAATAAGTTTTCCTTGGGATAACCATAGAACAAAACTTAATTGAAGGCACACAACAACAAAATATTACTAGACTGTTTTGTAATGTAAGCAATGGTTTTTGGTGGTGAAATGGTAAACTCATAGCAACTAGCCCATTGTATTTCAGTATTTCATTCTGACGAAGGGCCCTTCCACAGAGCCCTATATCTCAGGATATCAAGGCAGAAAATCACACATTATCTGAGTGTGGACACAGATAGCCCAGTTCAAAGCAGATATTGTGGGATTTTCTGCCTTGATGTTCTGGGATATAGGGCTCTGTGGAAGGGCCCCCAGCTTTACCTTTTTATAGTCGATATTGAAGGGTCTCCCTTGGTAAAAATTAGCATAGCATGTGAAGATAAGTTAGTCATTTATGAGACATATAATATTAACCAAAAGCAGAGGTAATGAATTGCAAATATATTTTGTGATGATGGCATATTTGTGGCTCTCCGCAGTTCTGTTCCCATCCATGGCTTCCTGGAGGATTATGTTTTTGTAATCCAAGCCCTCTTCGACCTTTATGAGGCATCGCTGAACCCAAGCTGGTTGGAGTGGGCCGTACAGCTGCAGCACAAGCAGGACGAGCTCTTCTGGGATCCAAAAGGGTTTGCCTATTTTTCCACAGAGGCTGGTGACCCTTCCCTACTCCTCCGTATGAAAGATGGTATGTACCCCTCAGAAACAGGAGCATCTGTCATCCCACCCTGAGAGAATGAGAGAATCTTTGCAAACGAAACAAAACAAACCCTTTCCTCCTTTGATGCAGTGATTATTTCTGCTTCAAGTGTTCAGCAGAACTCTGCACCAAATAATTATCACAGCAAGGGAAGCTGAACTGAAACCCCCAAGACATTATATACAGAACTTATGGATTCTTTCTTGCAAGTCTCACATTCTTTATATGTGAGACTTGCAAGCAAGGATCTGTAAGGTTTGCCAAGGGAAGCTGTGGGCATTCCCGCAGGTCTGAACAAAAAACCATGGAGTTCTTACAGGTTTAGCTCAAAAGCAAGGCAAACTTTCTGACAGTCCCCTAAGAGAGAAGCCCCACTTCTCTCCTCTGCTCTTCTGCCTCTGCTATCTTCATTCCTATGATGTTTTGTAAGGGAGGGGCTCTCTTGAGGACTGAGCAAGTGCCACACAGAGAGCAGATTCATGATTCCACTGAACTGTTGGATGGGATTAGAAAACTGTGACCACCAGTCATTAATTTGTCCAAGTTTATTCCCCCCCCCCCCCCAATTATGTATTATATCATGCCGGTTGTGAAACAGTAAAGAGTCCCTCTGGAGCAGGCAGTTTTTGCAATCCTCCTATATAGACTCCTGGATCTGCCTTGTTTCTTTCTTAACATTTTACCACTCCACAGCAAGTCTGACATGGAGGCAAATAGCATCAGTAGATAGACAGATATGCTGATGTTGCTGAATGGTGTACAGGAGCAGGAGGGTGCCTCTTAAAAGCTACACTAGTCTACGAAAACAAACTTCCAAAGACTTCCACAATGGCTAAGGGCCCTTTCACAAGCCATATAACTCAGGGCCCTTCCACACAGCCCTGTATCCCAGAATATCAAGGCAGAAAATCCCACAATATTTGCTTAGAACTGGATTATCTGAGTCCACATTCAGATAATGTGGGATTTTCTGCCTTGATATTCTGGGATATAGGGCTGTGTGGAAGGGCCCTCAGAATATCAAGGCAGATAATCCACAATATCTGCTTTGAACTGGATTATTTGAATCTACAGTGCCATATAACTCAGGGCCCTTCCACAAAGCCCTCTATCCCAGAATGTCAAGGCAGAAAATCCCACAATATTTGGTTTGAACTGGATAATCTGAGTCCACACTCAGATAATGTGGGATTTTCTGTCTTGATATTCTGGGATATTGAGTTGTGTGGAAAAGGCCCCCAGTTCAAAGCAGATAATGTGGGATTTTATACAGCTGTGTGGAGGAGGTCTAGGGGCCCTTCCACACAGCGGTATAAAATCCACATTGAACTGGGTTATATGTCAGTGTAGACTCGGATAAACCAGTGTGGACTCAGATAATCCCAATCCACACAGGGCCCATATTTGGAAAGATCTGGGTCTTATGAAAGCATGTACAATGTTTTTGTATATTTGCTTTTGCTAGCCTTGCAGACAGGGAATGATTCTGGAAGTAGTAGTAAAATTTTTTTTTCCTGAGCTCTAAGAATCCAATGCCTGTACTTAAGTACTTAAAAAAATCTGTTACCATTGTTTCAACACAGCTGGCTCCTGAAACTGAAGTCTACCTTGTCTTTTAAAGGAGGTGTCTCCTCTGCTCCTGTCTCATGCTCAGCTGGGTTTCTACCCTTTAAAGAAAAAAACATGGACATATGAAATGTTGGACATAGGTTGGAATTATATACATGAATCAGCAAAGCATCTCCCTTGTTTCTTGTGGGTTTTTTCGGGCTATAGAGCCATGTTCTAGAGGCATTTCTCCTGACGTTTCGCCTTCTTTTAGGTTCTTGTGGGTTTTTTCGGGCTATAGAGCCATGTTCTAGAGGCATTTCTCCTGACGTTTCGCCTGCATCTATGGCAAGCATCCTCAGAGGTTGAGAAGGTCTGGTGGAAGTAGGAAAAATGGGCTTATATATCTGTGGAATGGCTGGGGTGGGGCAAGGAGCTCTTCCCTGCTGCAGTTAGGTGTGAATGTTTAGCTGATCACCTTCATTAGCATTTGAAGGCCTGCCTGAGCCTGGGAAAATCTGTTGCTGGGAGGTGTTAATCTGTGCCTGGTTGTTTCCCCCTCTGTTGTTTGCTGTTGTAATTTTTGAGTTTTTTAATACTGGTAGCCAGATTTTGTTCATTTTCATGGTTTCCTCCTTTCTGTTGAAATTGTCCACATGCTTGTGGGTGTCAATGGCTTCTCTGTGTAGTCTGACATGGTGGTTGTTAGTGTGGTCCAGCATTTCTGTGTTCTCAAATAATATGCTTCCTTGTCTTGAATTATATCTCCCTTGTCTTGAATTATTAAACTGACACGTATATAGAGGCAGCAGACAGTGTTGATGGTTTGGCATGGTTGCTCTTTCTTGCACATTTGTCATACCATGATGCTTTAATGCTTCATTATTTCAGTAGAGCATGCTCATAATCTGCAGATTGCCAGTGCTTGACACTGAGTGGAAGAATCTGATCTGCATTGGGCTGATGTATATGCGTACACAGTGGGAAAAATCAAAGACCACCTGTGTGTTGAGTTTGATGCTTGCAGGCTATATTAAGACTGAACAGGTAACCAGGGAGCTAATGACTTGCAGTGAAGGGAGTTCCATGAGATGATCGACTTCACATGCAAAGTTCAATTCACAAATAAGCTTCACTAAGTTGTAGGCTTTTTCGGGCTGTATGGCCATGGTCTAGAGCAGCGGTTCTCAACCTGGGGGTCGGGACCCCCCGGGGGGTCGTTTGGCCATTTTCGGGGGGTCGCCAGGTCGCCTTGGCTGGCCCCGCCCCCTTCAAAATGGCTGCCGACCCCCCCCCCAAGCCAGCCAAATGGCACTCTGTGGGTAGTCAGGAGGAGGTGCTATTGAGATAAAGGCACTGGGGAAGAAGACTCACTGTTCTGGCCATCCGTGGAGCCTTCACCGCCTGGCCTTTGCCTCCTTTCAAGCTCAGTAGGGGGTGAGGGATGGACAGAGGGCTCCGCGCAGGGCCTAGCTCCTTCAAATCAAGGTAAATTTCCCCTCACGAACTCCAGTATTTTTTGCTTGCCATGGGGATTCTGTGTGCCAAGTTGCCATATAGATTGGAAAATAAACTGAGTTTTTCAGCCCATTTCTAAGGCTGAAAAAGCCACTCTCCGCTTATAGTCGGGAGAGGGTCCTGGCGGGAAGACATGGGGCTGAAAGAAGGCCTTTCTTTCAACGCCAAGCTTTCCCGCCATGGCTCTCTTTTTGTCTCCGCACAGCAGCCACGCGCCTTCCCCTCCTCCTGTCCTGCGCGCTATTCCCTCAGCCTCCTCCCCCCTCCCTGGTGAACTTCACTTCCATCCTTCAAGGAGCCCTGCTCCAAAAGTGAGC